TTTAGACAAGCAGCTTCACTGTCATGGTTATGGTGGGCCCTGCATTACTAAGCTTGCTCTAACCACCATACCAGAATCACCCTCCCATCTGTGGGTTAAAACACTGCTCCCACCGGTCCCTTCCCAGCGTCCCCTTAGCGGCTGCTCTCAGGAGGAACTAATATCGCATTCATTCCCCCATCACACCCCGCAGAAGTACCCTCTCCTCAACCAAATGCCCCAGCCTCCCCCACCCCACTCAGTCCCACCCACACCCGCATGCCAGGGACTCTCCCACCAGGGGAACACCCTGTAACCCCCAAGTTCCTCCAAAGCCTGATAGGGACCAGGGTGCCCTGCAGGGAGTGGGACCTGGTGGGTCCGGTGGAGGAACTGTCCTTGCTGAAACTGGCTGGGTCCTATCAGGGAAGTGGTGACTGACGTCTACAGGAACCCAGCGCAGCCAGTGGAGTTCAGTCAGCACACCTTGCGCCCACCCCTTCGCTAGGTACCTTGAGGCCACTGCCTACCTGGCCAGGTGCCCCCTGTCAGGCTTGCTCTGAAGTGTGGGGAAAGGCGCAGCTGTAAGGGCGCCGGCGCCCCCTGCAGGTCGCGCGCTCTCATAGCAGGGCTCACATTCTGGGCGGAGAGACCAGCTGTTGGCAGCTGCTTTCGACAGCAGCTGAGGCTGCCTGTTGGGAATCAGAGATGCTCCATGCTAAGCGAAGTGCAGCATTTTATAATTGGGTGAAAGGCCAGATATTCTGTCAGCTAACTTAATTGTTCTGTACGCATATCCCTGACCCATTGTTTGACGGACATTTTTATTGAGTTGACTTTTTTTTTTAAGGTGATATGACTAATGAAGAGAAAAGGCAATGTAGTTTTTAAAACGGCATGATCGCCCAGATGCTCCCACTGACCAGCTACGTAAGTGCGCTCTCACCAGGTCAACTGTGAGCTGGGACTTGACAGACCGACATGGAGAGAGATGGGTGCGGGAAGGGCGTTGTTAGCTGAGAGGGTCGTGCACCTGGAAGGCAGTAGCAAGCATTTTCCAACTGGATTTTTTGGCTGACATTAGCGGTGGGGAGACAAACAGGTCTAATTTGCCCCCGAGCATGGGCAGTGGGAGGATGCTGGTGGGTTTGGTTCAACACTTTGGAGAATGCCTTGTGGAAGGAGTGCTGTTTTAAATGCACACACAGACACCGTGGGAGCCTGTTGTCACCCTGGACATCTGACTCCATGCATTTGCCCTTCCACTCTGCCTCGGCAAGAGTCATGGCATCCGAAATACATGAGTTCAAATCCCGGTTTCACAGGCTAAGGGATGAGCTGAAGCTGTCAAACAAACAGGCCCCTCCTGTATACAGTTACAGCAGGTCAGGGAATAACTTAGAGCAAGCCAATAGCACAAGCTGGGTGGCTCATCAACAACAGACATTTATTTCTCACGGGTCGGGAGGCTGTCAGGGTGCTGGCATGGTCAGGTTCTGGTGAAGGCCTTTCCGGTTACAGACAGCTGTCTTCTCATTGCATCCTCACATAACAGACAAGGGCTGCACAAGCTTTCTGGCCCCTCTTATTGGCACTAATCCCATTCACAAGGGCCTCACCATCATGACCTCATTACCTCCCAAAGACCCCACCACCAAATACACCACATTGTGATTAGTGCTTCAACATATGAATTTGGGGGAGAAATAAACATCCAGTCCATTGTGGTAAGAGGTTGTCCTGATCATATGTGTGCCCAGGACAGAGTCCCCTCAGTGAAGAGCTAACTTGGAAGGCAGAACACTGTCAGGGTTCCGAATGTGCACAGAGTCATCCCTTGAAGACCGAGTCTGGTGATCTTACCAGCTAATTGCATTGAGCTACCCCACCTGGGGACCTACCTGCCAAGGAGAACAGAACACCACTGGCTCTGACACCCGTCTCTCAACAATGATGAACGAACACTGGAAATTCACCTTCTCGGGTAGCTTTGTCTAAGTTCACCTTCCTTAGGCTGACTTTCTTTTTTTCTCCCTCTCAAATGTTTTTATTATGAAACATCTCATTTAAAAGTTAATTCCAATAGATTTAAAAGTACACTTAAAGAGTGCATTTTGAAAGTACAGATGAAAACACAGCGAATAACTCTGTACTGATCTATTTGCTTAAGAAAAATATTTCAGACACAGCACGAACTCAGTTGCTGGTTCCAAGCCCCTCCCCTTCTCACTACACTGAACTTGGTGTGCATTCTTTCTTCAGGTGTGTTTATGATCTTATTACACACGAACATGTCCCCCAGTAATTGTTTTGTTTCTAGACATCATATTAATGGTATCATGCCAATTATCCTCCTATGCTACTTAATTTTTCATTCAGTGTTGTTTTGGTCATAAGGAATGTGTGCCTCCAGCCTTAGTCAGTATTGCCAGCTGGTCTCCAGTCTGATTTTACTAATTTATGCTCCCACTAGCACTATAGGTGAGTCTTTCACATCCTGCCGACTCTTGCCAATCTGATACATGGGAAGTGGTAATTCATTATTATTTCAATGCATATTCCCCGTATTATTACCTGAGATCTTAACACTTGTGTATTGCACATTCTGGTTCCTCTTCAGCAAATTGCCTCGGCACTAAGATAGTTGATTTTTCTTGCCACCTACGCTGGCTGAGTCAGGATGCTTAATTACTTGGAGGTAAAAACCACCTGGCTGAAATAGCCATCCCTGAGGCTGCCTGCTGGGGATAAGAGATGCTCCATCCAGGTTTAGGTTCTTTCTTGGAAACTTGGACCCGGGCCAGCCATGCAGGCTTTTCTGATGCTGCCCTCATCCACAATAGCTTCCCCACAGCCTGGATCCATTGTTCCCAGCATTATGATGGTTCCTTTATCTCCTTGACAGAGCCCAAAACCCACAGCTGAGGCCTCAGGGCTGCCTTAATGTCCTTAGAACAGGGGCAAAAGCAACACCAACCAAAATGGGGAGACCAGTATTCCTGCTCAGTCACTGCTGAGTCAGCATAAGTCACTCCAGAGGACAGCTTGTCACTGACCTCAATGACTCAGTTACAAAGATGCTCACCATAGCATTGTTTATAGTAGGATCAAAAAAAGGAACCACCTAAATATCTCCTTTTTTGGAGAATGTCTTGTGGAAGGGCTGCTGTTTCAAATGCACACACCAGCACCATGGGAGCCTGTTGTCACCCTGGACATCTGACTCCATGCACTTGTCCTTCCACTCTTGGAAGGGCATCACGGTTTGAAAAAATAAGGACTGGTACATTCTTCCATGGAAGGTACTTTAAAGCCACCCAAAATCATACTGCACATGGATACACAATGTCAAGGAACCTTGCTCAGGAGTCCTAATTTGGCGTCCATGGATTCCCAAAGAGATGCTTATCAGAGGGAGTTGGCACCCCCTGAGATGCTCATGAACGTGCAGATATCTGCGCCCCACTCCAGACTGAATCTGCACTTCCAGCTTGGAGGGCAGGAATCCTAACAAGTTCCCCAGATGCGTCTCAAGCATACTAAAGCCAGAGCGACTCCTGAAACCCAAAATAGGGAAGAAGCATTCTGGTGAATCAAGAGGAAAAAAGCAAATTACGTACAAATGCAGTGTATGTAAAAACCACACCCTTCATGTGAGTGTGGGTGTGTGTGTACTTCTGGGAAAAAAAAATAATTGGCCAGGTGCGATGGCTTACGCCTGTAATCCCAGCAATATGGGGAGGCCAAGGTGGGTGGATCATCTGAGGTCAGGAGTTCGAGATCAGCCTGGTCAACATGGTGAAACCCCGTCTCTACTAAAAATACAAAAACTAGCCAGGCATGGGGGCAGGTGCCTGTAGTCCCAGCTACTCAGGAGGCTGAGGCAGGAGAATCACTTGAACCTAGGAGGCGGAGGTTGCCATGAGCCGAGATCACGCCACTGCACTCCAGCCTGGGTGACAGAGAGAGACTCCATCTCAAAACATATTTTATGTATTTATTTGTTTATTTAAGAAACAGGGTGTTGCTGTGTCACCCAAGGTGGCGTGCAGTGGCGTGATCTTGGCTCCCTGCAGCCTCAAACTCCTGGCTCCAGTGATCCTCTACACTCAGCCTCATGCGTAGCTACAGGCATGCCCCACCACACCTGGGTTTTTGTTTTGCTTTGTTTTTTTTGGACAGACAGAGTCTCACTCTATATTTGTGTTCCCTGACTGGTCTTAAACTCTTGGCCTCAAGCGATCCTTCCTCCTCAGCCTCCCAAAGTGTTGGAGTTACACAGGTGAGCTGCCATGGCTACCCTGTGTGTGCTAATAGCTACCTAGATAACAAAACTTAAGAGCAATTACTTCTAGATTACCTCAGCACCATGGACACTTGGGCAGATGGCTCTTTGGGGTGGGGTGTCCCCTGCGCTGTAGGGGGTTAGCAGTGTCCCCGGGTGCACTAGTGTAACAATTGAAACTGTGTTTGGTAGCACAAAAGGGCAACTATAGTTAACAATAATTTACTGTATATTTCAGAGTAACTAACACATTGAAATTAGAATGTTCCTAACATAAAAAAAGATACACACTTGAGGTTATGAATATCTCAATCACCCTGATTTGATTATTACTTATTATATGTTTATATTAAAATATCACATGTAGTCTATAAGTATGTAAAAATATTATGTGTAACTTAAATTTATTTTAATTTTAATTAATAAATATTTGAAAATATCTGCAGATATTGCTAAAAATCCCCTCAAGGAACAAGATTCCCAGGTGGAGAACCGATTCTCTAGATGGGACATGTATAGATGATGATTTCCTTTGTTTTTTGGTATCTATGTCCATTTTTTAGTTTTTTCTAAAATAAATGTGTTTTACCCATGTTAAAAAAAGAAAACAACTTTGTATTTCTTGCTGTCCCATTGCCTTCACTTTCTGAAAAAAATACACTCAAATGAAAAGATATTCACATGAATACTTACAGTAAGAAAACTAATTTTATTACGATTTTAAAATAGCTATGGAAAAACATATACAAAGGCCTCCCAAATGTCAATATTCCTTAGACACCTTTGAACTATTTATAATCTTAATCTTTAGGCATCCTAATTGTAATTCTGTATCTTAAAGAAGCAATTCTAAATATAGGAAATGCTTCACAGATATGGTTGATTTTTACAGCTACTTATAAAAGCAAAAAGTTATAGACACTCTAAAACCAGCCATAGGAAACTATATAGTTAAAGTACATTCACTTGATAGACTATTTTACAGCATTACAATGATATTTATAAAGAACTTATAACAATATGGGGGCAAACTTTATGCCATATTGTTAAGTGGGAAAATAACTGAATACAAAATCAAACACGTTGCATCATCATTCAAAGGTATCATAATGACAACAAAAAGAATCACATCAACATGGTTGGAAGAAATATATCAAGACATTAAAAGTAATTGTTGGCCAGGCACGGAGGCTCATGCCTGTAATTCCAGCACTTTGGGAGACTGAGGTGGGAAGGGATCATGAGTTCAGAAGATCGAGACCATCCTGGCCAACATAGTGAAACCCTGTCTCTACTAAAAATACAAAAATTAGCTGGGCATGTTGGTATATGCCTGTAGTCCCAGCTACTCAGGAGGCTGAGGCAGGAGAATCGCTTGAACCCGGGAGGTGGAGGTTGCAGTAAGCCGAAATCACACCACTGCACTCCAGCCTGGCGACAGAGCAAAACTCCGTCTCAAAAAAAAAGTAATCGAGTGACTTTTTCTCTCACTTTTCTGAAATATCCAAATTTTTTACAATAAACATGTATGTATTTACACTGAAAGAGAGAACAGTGAAATTTCTTTTTTAAAAATACTTCAAAATGATCACCAAAATGTACCAACATTTCAGGTAAGAAATGTGTTTTTATATTGGCCTGTACACAAATTTCTATCCAGATGATAAAAGTAACTTCAAGAAATTAAACGTATGCAGAAACAACATCAGCTCACTGTGATGGTGTCCCAATTCATCAGCTTTGAGAAGGATAAAATTTTGAAATATAAATTACTAGGCAGGTGGTCAGGAAAAGGTTGTATGGAGTCACGTGATAAATGACACCCAGAAAACGCTTTTTATGGAAAACAAATTGGATAGATTCTTTCCCAAACCATAATCACATCCTTCTAAATCATTTAGAAGGGAATAGAATAATTTCGGCTTGATTAGCACTTGACTAACCAAGGACAGCTTCCAGCCGCCTCGTGGATTTTGATCTAACGTGTTTACATCATCAGGGGTGATGGGCAGTTCCAGCCCACAGGAAGCGCAATCTTTGCAGACAAAAGGCGGCCCTTCTCATATTTGTCAGGAAATATTTGTCCAACCTGGCCACTCCCAGGTGGCTCCAATGAACTCTCTTGTTAGCTCACTCCTGGGTCTCTTGTGGACCCAGACTATATCTTACAATAGACCTCAAAGAGGGAGGCAGCTGCGTGCATTCGGTAGAAAATAGAAAACGGCATGGCCAGGTTGACCACAATTATCCAGGGTTCAAAGCCAAAGACAGTCTCCTCCAATCCGTTGTCATACTCGGGTCGACAGCCAAAGGCAGGAGGTATCCAAAGCTGCAAGAGAAGAGAAAATGGCCTGTGGTAGGGAGCAGCTTCCAAGCCACCAAGGAGGCCCCACTCAAGTCCAGGTCTCATGGAAGCCAACCTGGATGTGCGGGGCCTGAGTCACCCCTGACAGAACAATAAGGAGACCTCGCAACATTTCCCGTCTGCACTGAAACCACCATATCCTGTCTGCCAGGATCCTGCTCACTGCCTCACCCACCCTTCCCTGCAATCCATCCCGAGCGAGCACTTTTTGAACCCATCAAATTCTCTCCATCCCTACAGCCCTCACCCAGCCTCGGTTTCCTCATCTGGAAGATGAGAATACTAACACATATCTGAGAGGGCTTAGATGAGAACTAAGTTCTGAAAACTGAAAGCAACGACTTTTGTTCATGTTGCTCCCCAAACCTACACACTGTTCCCTGCTTCTCTGTCTCTTCCTTGTCCCAGTTCCCTCCTGCTCTGCCACCCCTTGAGCTGTCAGGCTCCTCAGGGCCCCAGAGCTCAGCCCTGGGCCCTCTCCCGCTTCAGGCTGCACACTTCACCTTCCTCCACTCCCCGGCTGTGGCAGCAGGCTCTAGGATGACCCTCGATGATCCCCAGCTCCTGCAGTCACCCTTTTGTGGAGTCCTCACCCCTTGAGTGTGAGATGCACCTAATGACCCGCTCCCAACTCACAAAATATGGCAAAAGACACGGGAAGTCCCTTCTGAAATTAGGTTGCAAAGGACCTGCTATCGCTCTTGCTCATCTTCTCCTGTAAGACAGGCGGTAGCTGCCATACTTCGAAGCACCCTCAGTGCTTCAGGAAACTCAGACCCTGAGTCCAACAAGCCGCCAACAGTCACATGAGTAGATTTGGAAACAAATCCTCCACCACCTCTCTCAAAGTCAAGCCTTGAAATGAATGCAGCCCACGTGGACAGTTTCAGCCTGGGAATGGCCCTGTACATTTCACCCTGGGAATGGCCCTGTACAGACACAAGCTAAAGCTGTAGTTGGATTCACAAGTCAGAGAAACTATGAAACCGTAAATGTACGTTGTTTAAATTGCTGAGTACCGGGGTAGTCTCTTACATAGCCAAAGGTAACTGAGACACACAGCCTTCATTAGAACTCCATACAGAACCCTCCCTGGTACATACAGCCAAACTCTGTATCCAGGGATCTGTGTCTATGGATTCAACCAGCCACAGATCAAAAATATTCAAAAAGTAGACTGGGCACAGGGCTCACACACCTGTAATCCCAACACTTTGGGAGGCCAAGGCAGGTGGGTCACCTGAGGTCAGGAATTCAAGACCAGCCTGGCCAGCATGGTGAAACCCCAACTCTAGTAAAAATACAAAATATCAGCCAGGCGTGGTGGCATGTGCCTGTAATCCCAGCTATTTGGGAGGCTGAAGCTGGAGAATCGCTTGAACCGGGGAGGCGAAGTTTGCAGTGAGCCGAGATTGTGCCACTGCACTTCAGCCTAGGCAACAGTGAGACTCTGTCTCGAAAAATAAAAGTAAATAAATCCAAAAATCAAAATGGTTGGGTGTGTCTGTACTGAATATGTACAGACTTTCTTCCTGCCATTGTTCTCTAAACAATACAGTATAACAATTATTTACACAGTATTTAAATCATATTAGCTATGGTAAATAATCTAGAGATGTCTTAAAGTGTACGGGAGGATGGGTAGGTTACATGCAAATACTGCCCCATTTTATATATAGGACTCGAGCACTGTGCATTTGGTATCTGCCTTGGGCCTAGAACCAAGATCCCTCTCTTCTACTTTGTTCCCTGGCTGCTGTGACTCTTAGGGGCTCTCCTACCTCTTTGGCGGGTCCCTCCCATCTCCTTTGCTGTTTCATCCTTTGCTCTGCCCCTTAATGTTGGCCAGCGGTCCAGGGCTCCTTCCTGGGTCCCTTTCTGTTCTCTATACACATGAGCCCTGGGGCTCTCTCCCAGTCCCTGGTTGTAAATACCCCCTATAGGCCTATGACTTCCCAGGCTAAATCTCCAGCCTGGACCACTCCCAAGAAGCCCAGGCTCATAGTTTCCACTGGCAACTTGAGTGTCTAAAACACATCTCAAACTCAATCCACCTTCCCCATTTCTCCAGTTGATCAGCAACATCCTCCTCCCAGGTGGTCCATCAAAGCTCCAGGTGTCATCCTTATTTCCCTCCTCCTCCCAGAACCATGCCCCCTGCCATCCAGCCCATCAGTGCACCTTGACCATACGCCTCCAAAACAGTATCTTCAGCCTGCCTGTGGCTCTCTGTCTCCACCTTCCAGCCAGACTCTCTCACCTGGACCATGGCCGTGGCCTCCTACCTGGTCTCCCAGCTCACACTAGGACTCCACTCAGCTACCAGATTAACTTTTTATAAAAATCAGATCCTGTTACTACCTTGATTAAGCCCCCAGAGTCTTCCCAAAATATTCAAAATAAAATCTACACTCCCTCATGGGGTGAAAAAGCACTCTGTTAGCTGATTTCTAACCACTGTCCACGTTCTCCCCACTCACCCCACCCACGTGGCACACAACCCTTCTTCCTGTTTCTCAAACCAGACCCGCTCACTCCCACCGGGGGTTTTTCACCAGCTATTGTTCCCTCTGCCTTGAACATGCGTGGCCAGCCCTCCCTGCCTCACGTCACCCTTTAGCAAGGCCTTCTGGGTGAGCTGGTCCATCTGATCTACAATGGCTGCCCAAAAGCTGTCTCCTGCACCCTCCTTTCCACTTCTCCACCTAACACGTGTCACTACTGGGGGTCTTTCTTGCTTGGTTGATGGTTTTGCCTGCTGTTGCCTGGTTTCTAAGCCCCAGAGGAGGAAGACTGGAGATCTCGGTCATAGCTGTACCCTTACAATTCACAGCAGTGCCTGGCCCTCTGCAGGTATTCAAGGGACACGTTTTAAAGGAAAGGAGAGAGGGAGGAAGAGGGAGACAGGGAGGCAAAAGGAGAAGAAAGGAAGGCGGGAAGATGGGACCTCTTCTGAAACCCACATCTTTCTATCTGCTGCTCAGTTGGCTGTAAATTCTTGTTACTTACCCTGTTGAGAGGTGGCCTATGATCTCTTTCCTTGAATCTGGATGGGTTCTGTCACTATGTGAGTAATAAAATATGGCAGAATTGACCCCATGCAGTTTCTAAGCCTAGGCCTTAGGAGACAGGCTGTTTCCAGTTCAATCTTGTGTAGGGTTGGCTCTGGGACCCTTAGCCACCACGTACAGAGTCCAACCACCCTGAGATGTCACGATGGAGACCCACCTGCGGATGTCCCAGTCAAGGCTGAGCCCAGCCTCCCAGCCACCCCCACCCAAGGCACCAGACCATGGACCTTCCGGACAAGACTTCACCAGCTTCACCTGATGCTGTGAGGAACAGAACTGCCCATCCAAGCCCTGCCAGACTTTCTAGCCCACAAAGCCATGAGTCACAATAAAAGCCATGAGACAAAAACGAAATCATGCATGTTGCTTCTGTCACACATTTGGGGTAGTTCGCTGCACAGCAACCGAAAACCAAAATATCTGCCTATTGGCTTTGCCCATTTGGATGCCGCAGAGGCACCAAACAGAACAGGTCCAGTACTAAACTCTGGTCCTTCCTTCCACACTGACCTCCACCCACTGCCCCCAAGGTTGCCCCGCCTCCAGCATCCTCCGTGTCCAACCTAGTATCACCGTCTCCCCAGGAACTCAAGTCTGAAGGCACAGGTCCTGCTTGGCATCTGCCACCCTTCGTGACTTGCAACCTGGAGATCCTGGAGGGTGTTATGATGAGTGAAGTAAGCCAGTCACAAAAGGACTAATACTCCACAAATCCACTTATATGAGGAGTCTAGGAGTCAAATTCCTAGAGACCGAAAGAATGGTGGTTGTCAGGAGCTGGGAGAATGGGGACTCCATATTTAACGGGGTGGAGTTTCAGTTTTGCCGGATGAGAATAACCTGGAAATGGATGGTGGTGATGGCTGCACACCGTGAATGTCCTTTACTCAACTGTACACTCTAAAGTGGGTGCAGCGGGCATTTATGTGGTGTGTTTTTTACCACAATTAAAAATATAATAAAAATAGGCCAGTCACAGTGGCTCATGCCTGTAATCCCAGCACTTTGGGAGGCAGAGGCAGGCAGATCACCTGAGGTTAGGAGTTCAAGACTAGCCTGACCAACATGGAGAAACTCCATCTCTAATAAAAACACAAAAATTAGCCGGGTGTGGTGGCACACACCTGTAATCCCAGCTACTCGGGAGGCTGAGGCAGGAGATCATTTGAACCTGGGAGGCGGAGGTTGCAGTGAGCTGAGATGGGCAACAAAAGTGAAATTCCATCTCAAATTAATAATAATAATAATAATAAGCATGAGTCAGATCCCGTTGCTCTCAGCATAGACCCTTCCATGGTTTTCTGTTGTGTTTAGCATGAAGTCTTGATCTCAGGCCCTGTGTGGCCTCCCCTCTGCCCTCCACTCCGTGCTCCTGGGTCATGTCCAGCGAGCTCTGCCTTGCCTTGCACCTGTGCCTTCCCCACACCTGCAGCTCTGCCCTCGTAGTCCCTTGCCCCAGCCCCGTCCACACCCTTGCTTAGAAGAGGCCTTCCCTGACTCCAGTCTCCCACAGCACCCTGCCCTTCCCCATCACCACACCCACCCTCTGTTGTCTCCAGGGTGCGGCTCCTGGAAATTCAACTAACGTTTCCATCTCTGTCTTGGCTGGAGTGGAAGCCACACCACCTGGACATGCACATCAGCACCTGCAGCTGGGGCTGTGGTCTGGCTGCTGATGCTGGAGAAGACAGCTCTTGTTCTCTGCCAGACGCCTGTGGCACAACCTTGGGTCAACTGCAAGGTTTCAAAGTGCCGCCCAATGAGCCAGCACTGACATCCTAAGACACGACCCTGTGATGATTTCCATCCTCTGGTTCCATCCCCCATAACCCAGCCAGTGCCTGGGGGCATCACGGGCCAAGCACAGGGAAGAAGAAATGAAGCCCACCCTCCTCCCTGGACTGGGCCCTGGGTCTTGGGTCTGGCCTTCAGGTCCTGACAGACCATCAGTTGCCTGTTGATTCTGATATTTTGGACAGTGCTATCTTTCTTCAAGTGTGTGCAAAAAATGCAAGCCAAGTGTTTCACCCAGTGGTCAACCAAAAAGGCAACCAGGCAGAAACAGCTTTTCAGAACTTAGTTTTAAAAACATGCATTAGGCCAGGAGTGGTGGCTCATGCCTACAATCCAAGCATTTTGGGAGGCCTAGTCAGGCAGATCACCTGAGGTCAAGAGTTTGAGACCAGCCTGACCAACGTGGTGAATCCCTGTATCTACTAAAAAATACAAAATGTTAGCTGGGCACGGTGGTGCATGCCTGTAGTCCCACCTCCTCAGGAGGCTGAGGCAGGAGAATTGCCTGAACCCAGGAGGCAGAGGTGGCAGTGAGCCGAGATCGCGCCATTGCACTCCAGCCTGGGCAACAGAGCAAGACTCCATCTCAAAAAATATATATGTTAATCACAGGATATGTACAAAAAGCATATGCTTGAGGAGGATTCTAGAACTAGCTCTGTATAAGAGTTTGCATTTTGGAATATGAACCTCAAAAAAAAAATACAGCCGACTAGTATCTATCTCTCTTTTAACTCTTTAAAGTCTTGGTTAGCTGCTGTGCCCCGTACATAGTCCCGGCATACAGCAGGTGCCTGACTGGTATCTGCTGGATGGAGAAGAGGGTCTGCCTGCAGCCAAACTCTTCTGGCCTTCCCCCTCCCAAGCCCCTCCTCACTGCCTACTGAGTTGAAGGAAGCCAAGTGATCCAAGGCTGGGGCGGATCAGGTTTGCTTGGCAGACACACAGCAGTTCTGACTTCAGAAGGGACCTTCCCAGCTTTGTGTTCTTAGGGCAATAACAGAAGTCGCAGGCCCTGAATGCACCATCTGAAATTCAGGGGAGGAAGCTCAAAAGCCTCTGAGCAGCTGGGGCCACAGAGAGCAGGCTTGATAATGGAGGCTGGTAGCGGAGAGCTGGCTTCACCCAGAGAGATGGGCAGACACCTCTGTGGACTGGGGCACTCCCTTCCAGCCACCAGTCACCATCACTGCAGAGACTTACGCGGTGGCAAAGGCTGCTTCCCCCTCCTTCTCACCAGCCCCCACCAGCCTTCCTCTGTGTGTCTCTGAAAATACCGCAACAGCACACAATGCTTCCGATTCCTTTTTCTTCTCTCCATCCTCCACCACTGCCCGGGTTCAAGCTCCTGCCCTACTTGCCTGTGCTGCTGCAGGGCTTTCTCTCCCAGTCTTTCTGCTTCAGGCCCCATCTGTCTCCTTCCTTGCTACACACAGCTGCTGGAGGATCACTCCAAAGTGCAAATCTGAGCAAGTCCTCCCTTGCCCTCAGCAACGACTCCAGCCAGGCATAGGAAGCCCTGATCAAGCCAGAGCCCACCTAGCCGGGCCCCCTCTATTTCCCATTCTTCTGCTCTGCTTGAAACACGTGGAATTTATGCCAAACTACCTGGTGCTCTGAAAACATGCCGTGGAGTCTTTTGCCTCTGCGTCTTCACATACGTGTGCCTCTGCCTGAAATGCTTTTCCCTGCCTTGATCATCTGGTGAACGTCCAGTCATTCCTTGCTGATGCAGACAAGATTCGGTGAGTGATTCTTCACTTTCCTCTCCCTTGCTACCTTCTGTCGGAGAGGCTGGAAAGCAAACCATCCACTTCCCCAGCCTCCCTCACAGCTAGGGATGCCCACATGAGAGACACTGCCTGGCACCAGCCCTTCCCCATCTTTTCTGTCTTGAATCCATTTGTGATGCCTGGTGCAGCTGCGGCCATCTTGTAACCATGTGGCAAAAGCACCACACCACCCAAGTGACAAGATGAACAGTGTCTGGATGCCTGATGACATGGTTCAGCTGCCAGGCCAGCCCCAAGCAGCCAACCTCTGGAATTCTCGTGAGATAATTAAACATTGTTAAGACTGAAGACACTGCGAATCAATTGCCTATCACTTGCAGCCAAAATCACTCCTGATTGGCACTGGGGCCTCATTCAAGCACCCCCTCCTCACTGAAGTCCTTCTGAATCCCTGCTCCTAGTACACCTTGCACAAGCCTGTCTCGGCACTTGTCCTGCTCACCATATTAGATTTTCTCATTGTCTCCCTCCCCTATCATACTGTGACCTTTTAGAGGAAAGAGACTTAGTCTTTCCCCTTTAATTTTTAGTGCTCGGCCCAGCCCCTAGCACACAGCAAGTCTTCAGTAGGTAATTTGTAGAATATAGGTCTACTTTCCAGCCTCATATTTTAATTTTGTACTTAGAGCATTTTTATTACTAGCTGCCTCCATTTCTTATTTTTAAAAAGCAAGAGAAACCTTGATGTCCATCAGTAATGGACTGGACAAAGACAATGTATTATGGCCGGGTACAGTGGCTCACATCTGTAATCCCAGCACTTTGAGAGACTGAGGCGGGAGGATTGTCTGAGCCCAGGAGTTCAAGACAAGCCTGGGCAGCACAGTGAGAACCCATCTCTACCAAAAAGAAAGTTTTGGCCAGGCTCACACCTATAATCGCAGCACTTTGGCAGGCTGAGGCAGGCAGATCACTTGAGATCAGGAGTTCGAAACCAGCCTTGTCAACATGGTGAAACCCCATCTCTACTAAAAATACTTTTTTAAAATTAGAAAGGTGTGGTGGTGGGCATCTTTAATCCCAGCTACTCTAGAGGCTGAAGCAGGAGACTTGCTTGAACCCAGGATGCGGAGGTTGCAGTGAGCCAAGATTGTGCCATTTCACTCCAGCCTGGGCAACAAGAGTAAAACCCCATCTCAAAAAAAAAAAAGTTTTTAAAATTAGCCACGTGTGATGGCACATGCCTGTGGTCCCAGCTACTCAGGAGGCTGAGATGGGAGGATTGCTTGAGCACAGAAGGTCGAGGCTGCAGTGAGCTGTGATCGTGCCACTGCACTCCAGCCTGGGCTAAAGAGTGAGACCCTGTCTCAAAAAGTAAATAAATAAATAATATGGTAGCTATACACCATGGAATATTGCGCAGCCTTAAAAAAGAATGAAATCACATTCTTTGTAGCAAGTTGGATGGAACTGGAGTCCTTATCCTAAGTGAATTAACACAGGAACAGAAAACCAAATACCACGTGTCCTCTAAGTGGAAGCCAAACACTGAGCGCTCATGAACACAAAGATATGAACAATAGACATCACTAGGGACTACCAGAGAGGAAAGGTGGAAGAAACCTACCTGTCGGGTACTATGCTCACTACCTGGGTGACGGGCTCATTTGCGCACCAAACCTCAGCAACACACCATCCACCCATGCAACAAACCTGCATGTGTACCCCTTGAACTGAAAATGAAAGTCTCAAATAAAATTAAAAGAATAAGAATAACTTGGTGCGGATTACCGAAATATTGCAGAGGAACAAGAAGGCTGCAATATTCCTCAAGACTTTTCTCTTGGCGTTGCCCTGTAAGAAACAGGGAAGGCGGGCTGGGCTTGGGCTCTCTCCCCAGCTGCTCTCCTCCCGCTTCTCATCCTCCTTGCTACAGCCTTCTCTCATGTGCACATTTCCGTTGGCTGCTGGTGGCAAGTCCCTGCCCCGGGGAGCCACATCTTCAGCCACGCCTCCACTTTTGAGGCAGGAAGAAGCAAGGGGCATGGTGTTGCCATTGCAGACGGTGACCACCCGAAGGGTTCGGATGTCCTCAGAGAGTTTTTCAGGCTCTCGGTGAATGGACTCGATGATGAAGAGGTTCTGGATGTATTTCTCCAGGATCACGAGGATGGAGTAAGGCAGGTTGTACCAGGTGTAGCTGGGGTGGTTCTCTGCACAGAGGATGGCCAAGATTGAACCCCAGGAGATAAGCCAGGAGCCCGAGGCAGTGCCCACCAAGAGGTCTGAGTCCAGTTTGCGGGCCGGATTTTTGGACTCGTCCAGTGATTTCTCATCCATCCTGTAAATCCAGATTCCAGCCAGCCCCGCAGCCCCCATCAGCATCAGCAGGGTGATGGCATACAGGTAGAACATGATGAGTGCCGACTCGCTCTTGGTCTTGGAGCGCCCAATATGAATCAGGTACACCACCACCACCCCGATGGTGGCGGCCAGCGCAGTCAGGCCCAGGGCTGCACCCACCGCGACCCCATCAGACTTGAACTGCATCTTCTGGTGCTGATGGCTGTCAACTTTGCGCCCAATGTTCTTCCATAGGACGTAGAGCATTGTGGAGGCCAGGATCTGATACTCTATGTTGAAGGGGTAGAGGTAGTAGATCCCGTGGGAGATGGCAGTGCAGAGAGTTGGGGGCGTGCAGTTACACTGTGGTGTGTGGTCATCTAGAACTGGGGGACACAGGCAGAGCACACAGGAGGGCAATTAGTGTGTGTGAGGGGAGGCAGAAAAGCCCAGAAAGCCATTTCCACTGCAGATTCATGCTTGGTCTTCCCACCGGATTACAAGCTTTATCCTGTCATGGCTTATTATCATGTTTAATATCATGCCTAAGTTCATAGCTGTGAGTATCCCCAAAGCATATTCATTACCTCGATCACATTTATTTGGCAGGTGGCCAAAGACAATAGAGACAACGACTGTATTGCTGTCAGAAATAGATACGCAGATGACGGACAGAGGGACAGACACACAGATGGAAAAAATCTGGAAGGACACAAACTAAAAACGTCAGCAGTGGTTATCTCTGGGTGGAAAATGACGGGTGATTTTTAATCTCTTCTAGATTTTGCTTCCCTGTATTTTCTAACCTTTCTAAATTTACATGTGTGATTTTAAAAACTATTTTTAAAAAATACTTTGTAAATGCCATTTTTAATTAGCAAAAGATATGCCCCTTATGACGCCAGTGCTAGCAAGTGTGCAGGAGAGGGGTGCGCCCCAACAGCAGTGTGGGGAAGCAGATGGGCACCACCTTCTGGAAGACAAGCTGGCGGCGGTACGGGAGGGCGCTCTTCACAGGATGGGACATGCTGCGAGTACATGATGAAACATGTCACCAAAGCCCTAAAGGCGATACGGTCTCTGACCCGTAATTCCATCTACCCTTCTACTCAAAGGGACAAATAAAAAATGTAATCAGAGTCAGGTAAGACCAAGTGCAGTGTCTCAGGCCTATAATCCCAGCACTTTGGGAGGCTGAGGCTAGTGATCACTTGAGGTCAGGAGTTTGAGACCAGCCTGGCCAACATGGCGAAACCCCATCTCCATGAAAATTACAAACATTAGCCAGGTGTGGTGGCATGCCTGTAATGTCAGCTACTTGAGAGGCTAACGCAGGAGAATCGCTTGAACTTGGGAGGCAGAGGTTGCAGTGAGCCAAAATCACGTCGCTGCGCTCCAGCCTGGACAACAGAGTGAGACTCAGTCTTGAAAAATAAAGATAAAAAAAGAGCCAGGTAAAATTGTGTGTGTGTGTGTGTGTGTGTGTGAGAGAGAGAGAGAGAGAGAGAAAGAGAAAAAGAAAGAGAGAGAGAGAAAAACACCTCAGTGTCCAACAATTTAGAAATTGGTAAGTAAATTTTAGTATGTCCCAACAATGGGATAGTAGACAGCCACTGCAGATTATAATTGAGATGTGCTTTATGGTTTTTGCTATTTTTGATGTGTGTGTGTGTGTTTGTTTGTTTGTTTGTGTTGAGACAGAGTCTCCTTCTGTTGCCCAGGCTGGAGTGCTGTGGCTCAATCTCCACTCACTGCAACCTCCGCCACCTGGGTTCAAGCGATTCTCCTGCCTCAGCCTCCCAAGTAGCTGGAACCACACGTATGCACCACCACACCCAGCTAATTTTTATATTTTCTGTAGAGACAGAGTCCACCATGTTGGCCAGGTTGGTCTTGAACTCCTGAGCTCAAGTGATCTGCCCCCTTCTGCCTCCCAAAGTACTGGAATTAAAGACATGTGCCACCACATCCAGCCAGGATGCATTTTAATAATATAAGAAAGTAATCCCATTTCAAGGAAAATGGAAAAAAGTAAGAACAAACTGTATATCTATTTTTTTAATGTAAGCCACAACCCAATATCAGGCTGTAAAATCAGGTAGCAACCAAGTGTTTTGTAGCAGAATAAATTTGCAGTGACTAGAACAGGATAGAATGGAGTGGAATCGACTATGAGAAAATTTGAGATAGAGTAAAACTAAGTATTATTTTTGTCACACACACACATATTTATGTGTTGGTTGCAATGTAAAATCTGCCTCTTATTATAGGTTGCAATAAAAAAAGAGCAAATGTATAGTATAAAATCAACTATAAATAAATGGCACACTACAAAAAAATAAACATTCACAGCATTTACTGCATTTCTGGGTAAGTGCTGTGGATTTTTTTGAGATGGAGTCTCACTCTGTCACCCAGGCTGGAGTGCAGTGGCATGATCTTGGCTCACTGCAACTTCCACTTCCTGGGTTCAAGCAATTCTCCTGCTTCAGCCTCCCAAGTAGCTGGGACTACAGGTGTGCACCACCATGGCCAGCTATTTTTTGTATTTTTAGTAGAGACAGGGTTTCACCATGTTGGCCAGGGTGCTCTCCATCTCTTGACCTCGTGATGCACCTGCCTCGGCCTTTCAAAGTACTAGGATTACAGACGTGAGTCACCGTGCCCAGTCCAGATTTGTTTTTTCTTCACACTTTGTCATTGTTTTAGTTAATGATATGTATATATTACTTATAAAATCTGAGAAAAGCTACATAGTAGAATTAATTTTACTTTCACAGAACATGATGCAATTTTCTTTCTCTTTTTTTATTTTTTCTTTTTTTATTTTTTTTGTGTGTGTGTGATATGGGGTCTCCATCTGTTCCCAGGCTGGAGTTAAGTGGCACAAACACAGCTCACTGCAGTCTTGACCTCCCAGCCTCAAGTGACCCTACTGCGTCAGCCTCTCGTGTAACTGGGACCACAGCCCATGCCACCATGCCTGGCTTTTTTTGACAGAGATGGAGGTTTCCCTTTGTTGCCCAGGCTGGTCTCAAATTTCTAGGCTGAAGTGACCCTCCTACTTCAAGATTACAAAGTGCTCAGATTATAGGCATTAGCCACTGCACTCGGTAATAATCTTCAATTCATACGGGGTTTCCCTAGCACTTATAATTTAATATGGTGTTACGCAGAAAAGAAGGGAAGAAATTAGGAAGAAAAGTTCAGATTAACAGAATGTTAGATCTGACAGCGTCCTTTTGTAGAAAATTAATCCAACCTCATGTTTCACAGAGTGTCTGGAAGCCAGATTGCTGGGATTCAAATCACGGCTCGATCACATATTCACTATGTTCCCCTGGGCTAACTTCTCTGTGGCTTGATGGCTTTATCCAGATGAGGTTAATATTGCCCACCTGACGCCAGGTGCAGCGGTTCACACCTGTAATCCCAACACTTTGGGAGGCCAAGGTGGGTAGATTGCAAGGTCAGGAGTTTGAGGCCACCCTGGTCAACATAATGAAACCCTGTCTCTACTAAAAATACAAAAATTGGCTGGGCATTGTGGTACATGCCTGTAGTCTCAGCTACTCAGGGAAGCTGAGGCAGGAGAATCACTTGAACCCAGGAGGCAGAGGTTGCAGTGAGCTGAGATTGCACCACTGCACTCCAGCTTGGGTGATAGGGAGAAACTCCATCTCAAAAAAAAAAAAAACTTGCCTACCTGAGAGTGTAAACTTCCAAGAAGAGTGTCAGACGCTCAGCAAGTGCTTAATAGCCATTTATTTTTGTTTATTGTCATTGCTGCTACTGATATTGATACCAAGGACATGAGGCCCAAACACTAAGAGTGGCTGCTGGTTGGAGGTGGTGACTGCGTTGACTCTACCCCACTGATGAGGAAACAGGTTCGAAGTGACGTTCCAGGACAGCCGAGGGTCACACAGCTGGCATAGACTTGCTGCACAGTAAAGCTGGAAGGGATCTTTGCAAGCGCATGATTTGGACACCCTCACTTTACGAATGAGAAAAGGGAGGCTCAGAGAGATGAAATATCTTTCAAAGGTCACACAGCTCGTACACGAGAGGAACAAGCCTGAGACACCCAGTTCCCTGCCCCACATCCCTCTTGGCCTGAATGTTCTCATACGGAAGTGACATATTGTAAAAGGCTAAAGGATTTTAGAAGAAAATAAAAAGATTAACCCAACAGGCCCTCAAATACGAGCAAGGGGGAACAGCCATCAGCTAAAATTAAAAGCAAAGTACAGTTAGATTAAAACTTTAAATGAACCACAGCCAATTAACCACAACCTACCATTAGACTTGTATGAATTTTTAAAAGCCATACTTTTACCAGAAAGAACTGATAATAGAGGCTTAATTAAAAACACAAGCAGAGGCAACCATCAATCTTCTGTAGTTGAAAACAAAGACCTTTATTTCTGCAGCAAACTGGATCATGAGAAATGGCCGTCGGAATGATCACCGTGGGTCTTCCAAGTCCCTGAGTCATGGAAGAAATCTTTAATTATGCTCAGCACATATCACTTATGAGAGATTCAGGTTTTGGAAGATTTTCAACAACAGGGCCTGTCTGGCTGGTGCTGAGTTGGGTGGCCTGCAATTCTTTGGAGCCTGCACTCCATCTCTGAAACCTACAGGTTTCCAAGATATTCCAACATGGCAGAAGGGCCACTCACCTCTCTCACCACTCACCTGTTGTTATGTTCCCAAAGCCAAGAGTAATGAGCCGTTCCTTGTGCTCATTGAGTTGGTGCTTTGACTCATTGAGGACACCGTTGGCCCACAAAAGCAGGTTGGTGAACACCGAGTGGATGACCCCAAACCTGAAAAACACAGGGACTCAGTTCTCAAGCATCCCTGGGAAAGCCTCAAGCCCCACGGGGTGAGACAGACATGTGCACACAATCGCACGGCTCCTTCTCAGACAGGGTTTCTGGTTTCACCTGGCAGCTCAGGCTCTGGGTGGGTCTCCTGCCTGGCTGGGAGGGGCAGTTCCATGAAACCTTCCAAAACCACAGAATCCTGGCATTCAGCCTTAGTCTTGAACTCACCAGTACTCAACGCAATGCCTGCAGAACATCAAAGAAGCTGGGTCTTGGAAGCAGAGTTGGAGGGGTGAAAATTTACTAAAAGCAGACAACCAAAGAGCCCATTTGTCCATATTCTGCCCACGGGAAAAATGGTTCAACTGCATCCTCAACTTTGACCCTGCCTCTCCTCTGAGTTTTAACCTCAGCTGATCTCTCTGGGGCTCTCCCAGGCAACTGCAGGCAAAACCTTGCCTCATTTGAACCCTGGCTTCCTTTGGCATAATGTCCAAACACAACTGGAGAAGGAAACAGAATCCCAGGGTGTCTGAGTCAGGTGTTTGCCCATCTGTTTGCCTCTTGAGCTTGCCCAGTTACTGTAGATCCTGGCCAGCCTTCCCCAAGGCGTCTGGGAGGCATTCTATAGAGCCTTTGACAAAGGCAGACAATGCTGTTTGCCTCACACTGGCTGGCTTTTCTTTTACTCATAATGCACACAGCTCCCCTTTCTTCTCTCTTTTTTCCTGGTCCAAATGGCACTATCCAATCCCAGGCCCACTGAACTCAGGGAAGTAGCACTGTTGCCACGCACAGCTATAAGCTGTTCTGACATGCAAGCTCCCTGCGAGCTGGCAGCCTCCTGTTGGCTTGATCTGGAAATGGTCCACAAACCAATGGCAGATGTCATTTTCCCAGGCCGGGCTGCCTTTCTCATCACTAGATCTGACCATCCCCGACTACAACAGAGGACAGGCTTCCATGAGCCATTTCTGATCTCAATTTGTTTCCTTCATCTGTGTGTGTGTGTGCATGGTGCTTTCTTACATGGTAACAACACCTTGCGTTTAGCTGATTCACTCCATTACCCTGTCAATGCTTTCCTTCCATCCTCACAATCAGCTTGGAGGGTGATGGGTGGACCTTGTAACAGACCCTACACTTGCTGAGTGCCTCTCACACGGTGCTCTACATCAATTCCCTCTTTCAATCCTCTAGGCAGTCTATGTTACTGTCTCTGAAGGACACCAATAGATTCCTCTCTACAATACTGAAGATCGTCAAGTGGCAGAAGATTAAAAACACAGGGGACACTGCTTCTCCCTGTGCCTGCCTGATGGCAGGATGATGATTTAAAAAAAAAAAAAGATCCTGCTACCTCCCCTTCCTTTCCTGCAGACAGACAGACATGTGAGCTTTTTCTTACTGGGACAGCTCTGAGCTCTTAGCAGCTCAGAAACGAAGCCAGCAGAGATAAGAGAATCTGGGAGCAAACTCACCTTTATCTGGTCCTTATAGGATTTATGGCTCTTTGTTAAATACTATTTAAGCAAAGCCTCTAAACCACTGCTTTGACAGAAACATGTTAGAACTGAGGTCCCTCCCACATTATGGGCACAGAGCAAGTGTCAATAAACTCCTGCTAGTTTTTCTCTTGTTAATCTGACCTTAGTTTTCAGGCCAGCATCTCAACCAAAAATTTATAAGGGTTAAAAAATGAAATTACATTTTCTTCCCTTCATCTCTATTTTATAGATGAGGAAACTGAGGATCATAAGGCAAAAGTGTCTAAGATGCAGATTCAAATTCAAAATTCAAGCCCCCTCCCCCCACCCATGCTACCTCTGGACTTGTCCCAGGGAGGAGCCAAAAACAGAGGCCCTCTTCTCTCAGCCACAAGTGAGGGCTTAGCTTTCAGGACCAAGTGGAGAGTTGGTCTATTTTTATAACCAAAGCAAGATGGCAGTGATGAGTTTTGATAATTCTAAATGAATGCCAAATTCAACATATAAAGCAATTACCCACAATTTTTACCTTTCCAGTGTTTTGAAAGATTGGATAATATCCTTTGCATGTCCCCAAAGAAAATATACCTAGATGGAAATAAAGAAAGAAGAAAAATAGGTGAGATACTCGTCATTACACTTGCAAACTTCAGAAACTATAAAACTCAAAGAAAAAGTATGGGAAAATGCTGGGACATCAGTGACCTCCTACTCCATCTTAGGTGGCAGTGCCACTCCCAGTGGGGACAGTGATCCAGGAGTACTATACAGAAAAGTAAAGTGAGGTCTCTTGGTTCAGGAAGAAATGATGCTGCAATTGATTAAGGATGTCTTCTGTGAGATGGGGTGATTGATTGAGGATGTCTGCTGTGGGACAGGGTATGGGAGTAGTAGCCTGCCCATCATTAATTCTATAACTGGTTTATATTACATGTTAGTTTTCATCCAATAAATATTAACTGTACAGTTACTCTGTGTCAGTGGCCAGTAAGGAAATGTTGAGGGCTTGAAATGAATAATGAAATTGATTTGGCTGGTCTTTTATTTCACTCTGTTACATGTGCTATGTAGTCCCCTGGTTGTGGAGTCACTAGCAGCAATGAAGGGAAGGGATTGAAGTCATGGATGCTATATAGTATCAGACCTGTGAAAATACTGACTTCCTCACTGAATAGCTCATGGCCTTGGGCAAGTCAGGGGACCTTGCTGAATCTGTTTTCCCGTCTTTGAAATGGGAATGATAGGAACTTACCCTAGAGGGTATTGTGAGCAATTAAATGAAGTGATCTATGTCAATTATTTAGACTAGCATGTATGTTTTCAATAAATTCACTGAAGTTGCCAGGCATTATTTGGGCTTCTAAAATGTTTTGGGCTTTATTTTAGAGATAAACATATATTAAGCACCTGCCGCATGCCAAACACTGCTAGGCATTTTGTAACTTTGTCTCATTTAATCTTTGTTTTCTAATTAAGAGTTATAAAAATAAAATCAGACAGTACAAAATAAAATACACTTACACATATCACCTCTTTCACATTCTTTTACCTAAGATTTACTATCTTACTCAGGAAAACACATTCAGGGCACTAACTGGAAACATCTAATAATAAAAATGGCAGTGACTCCTCATTAAAGCATTCAACCCAATAACAGGGAAAAGGTTAAGTAAATTAGCAATTATCTATGATTTAAAATTAGACAGACATTTAATTGATGCTTTTTATAAAAACTACCTACTAACATTAAAACCTTTTTATAGTGAAAAATCTGTAATGGAAAATTCTACATTCATTACCTTTGACAAGAATGTACACTTTAAGTACAAGTAGTGGAGGAGATACATAAAAGCAGTAACAAATGCTGGCTTCCATTGATTTGCTTACAGACATGTTTGCATTCTCTTTTCCACTTCTCTCTATAATGTTACATTTTATTTTTTAAATAAATGCTTTTTGTTTGTTTGTTTGTTTGTTTCAGAATTATCATATGGTCCAGCAATACCACTTCTGGGTATATACATATCCAAAAGAACTGAAAGCAAGTTTTCACAAAGATATGTGTCCACCCATGTGCGTAGCAGCATTATTCACAATAGCCAAGAGGTAGAAGCAACCCAAGTGCCCACAGATAGATGAGTGGATGATCAAAATGTGATAGGAACCAAAAAGTGCCTGAGACAGGTCTCAATCTATTTAGAAGTTTATTTTGCCAAGATTAAGGACACACACCTGGAAGACAGGTCTGTGCCTTTCTTCAAAGATTATTTTGAGGGCTTAATGTTTTAAAGAGAAAGGGCAAATGTTGGGAAACAAAGAACAAATTTTTTAATAAAGGTGTGGGTAGATCAGAGGCAAATGTTGCATTCTTTTGAGTCTTTGATCAGTCTTTCACTATGCATCCATCTAGCTCAGTGAACCTGCATTTCTATATAAGATAAAATAAACACAGGGCACAGGAAGCCATCAAGTATGTATTTGTCTCAGGTGAGTGGAGAGATGACCTTGAATTCTGTCCTTTGTCCTGTGCCTGTGAAGATAAGCTATCCATTTACTTTGTGAGGGTGAAATTGAACACAAGTGTTTTAGGGTAAAGATCTTGGAGCCCACGAGGAATTTCCTAGTGGACAAATTGTGAGAGAGGTATGCAGCTTTTTAAGATCTTTGTTGCTATCTTATTTAGGAAACCAGGTTTGCCTGATGCAGTTCCCAGCTTGACTTTCCTTTTTGGTCCCAAGATTTATTTTTCTTTCACAGTGGTATAGACATACAATGGAATTTTACTCAACCTTAAAAAGGAAGAAAATTCTGATACACACTGCAATATAGACGACCCTTGAGGACGTTAGGCTATGAGAAAGAAGTCAGACACAAGAAGACAAATACTGTATGATTCCATTTGTATGAGGTATCTAGAATATTCAAACTCAAAAAGACAGAAAGTAGAATAGAGGTTGCCAAAAGCCAGGGGAGGGTAAATAGAGAGTTGTTTAGTGGGTTCAGAGTTTCAGTTTTGCAAGACAAAAAAGGTCTGCAGATTGATTATATAACAGTGTGAATGTACTTAGCACTACTGAACCGTACACTTACAATGACTAAGATGGGAAATGTTAGGTGTATTGTCAATCTAAGAAAAAAGACACTAGAGAAAATTATCTCTAAATATGTTAGATTTACTTGGAAATAGAAATAAGAATTACAATCCAGAATAATCCACAATGCATGGAATGGCAAGCCACCAGTGCATTCAGTGAGGGAAGCGTAAGGAGGAGCTGTTATTAGCAAAGAGAGATTTACATAAGCTGCTTAGAAACAGAGTTCATTGGTTCTAGAGGCTTAAAGCCAGAGTTGTCATCAGCTCATTGGTGGAGATGCCAGTGCTGGGCAAGTGTTCTTCCCAGAGCATCTTATCTGCATTACTGCAGTCCTGAAGAATGCCTAGTGATGTCTAGTCTCATCAAAGCAGGAGATGAATTAGGGTTTTAAGGAAGTCCTTGGAAAGAGTTTTTATCTCAGACATGCAGGCAGGAGTCCCCTCTCCTTGGTGCCTTCCCAGTCTTGTTTTGCCTGGGTCTGACAAAAGTTATTTCATCTTGGTAGCTACAAGTTTTACAGTATTTGCCACAATTTTAAAATAAATAAATGCTCTGTTTTTTAGAATACCACATACTTGTTTCATATATATATATATATATATATATATATATATATATATATATTCCATTCTCTGGACATCTGATGTAGCAGAAGCACATGGTAAGTGTTCAAAAGGTAAAGAATGATTAATTCATTGATTCACCAGGCCAATAAAATGCCTTCAATTAGAAAGCTAAGATCTCCAACCCACCAAGTAAGAGGGATATTTTAAAAACTCACATCTGTCCAGATCATTACTCTCCCTAAAGGCTTCAGTGACTCCCCCTTGCCCTCAAGGTGAAGCCCAAGCCTTTAGGTGGTGGTCAGCCTTGACCAAGAATTTGCTGCACACCTAGCCCTGTGCAAAGTGCTGTACATACACTGTGCCTTTAATCCCTACAACGCGTGCATGAAGTAGGTACTGTGATTGTCCCCACTTTGCAGGTAAGATTAAGGAGGTCCAAAGAGGTTAAGTAATTTGCCTCAGCCCACACAGCTGTAGTCAGAGCCAGAGTCATGCAATCTGACCAGAAGTGCAATCTTACAAGCTCTACACCAAACTGCAGATCCAGCCTGTGCCCACACATCCTCCCCCTACCTCACTGTGAGGAAAGACTGCATGTCCCAAAGACACCATCTTCCAGTGGCCTCTGACCCACTACCCCGTGCTCCTCCCTCTTTCAGAGACAGTTTTGGGACCTTCCCTGGCAGAAACCAAACCGCAACCCAAGCTGCCAAACGTCCTCCTTTGTGCCCCCTCATTGCTCTGAGACACTCTGGTCAAAGCACTGAGCCCAGTGTTGTCACTGTTTTGGGTACTGTCTCCTGACACCCTAACGGAGTGTGCCACAGACCACGGCTTTGTACCCTTGTATTTCCCATACTGAAAACAAGGTTCACCCAATACTTAAAGATGAACTGCATGAAAAGAATGAATGAACAAATGCAGTTCTTTTGGCTCATTAAAGCTTTCCACATTCAGCGGGGTGTGGTGGCTCGTGCCTGTAATCCCAGCATTTTGGGAGGCCAAGGTGGGCAGATCACCTGAGTTCAGAAGGTCGAGACCAGCCTGGCCAACATGGCAAAACCTTGTCTCTACTTAAACTACAAAAATTAGCCAGGCATGATAGTACATGCCTGTAATCCCAGCTGCTCAGGAGGCTGAGGCAGGAGAATCGCTTGAACCTGGGAGGTAGATGCTGCAGTAAACTGAGATTGGGCCATTGCACTCCAGCCTGGGCAACAAGAGTGAAACTCCACCTCAAAAAAAAAAAAAGATAAGATTTCCACCTTATCACTTTATCACTATAAGGCTCTGTCTTCATGGGATTTGGCGTCCCTGGAATGAGCAGCTGGTTAACTTGGATCAGCCTGGGCTCCCATAACAAAGGACCACAGACCATCAGCCTCAATAACAGGAATTTCTTTTCTCAGGGTCCTGGGGCTAGAAATCCAAGATCCAGACATTGGCAGGGTTGGTTCCTTCTGAGGCCATTCTCTTTGGCCTGTAAATGGTCATTTCCTCCAGTGTCATGGCTGTCCCTCTGTGTGTGTGTGTGCTGTGTCCTTCTCTCCTCTCCTTATAAAGACACCAGGGCCAGGCACGGTGCTTCACGCCTGTAATCCCAACACGTTGGGAGGCTGAGGCGGGTGGATCACCTGAGGTCAGGAGTTCAAGATTAGCCTGGCCAATGTGGTGAAACCCTGTCTCTACTAGAAACACAAAAATTAGCTGAGCGTGGTGGCAGGCTCCTATAATCCCAACTACTTGGGAGACTGAGGCAGGAGAATTGCTTTAACCCAGGAGGCAGAGGTTGCAGTGAGCCAAGATAGTGCCATTGCACTGTAACCTGGGTGACAAGTGCAAAACTCCATCTCAAAAAAAATAAAAAAAGACACCAGGCATATTGAATTTGGGCAGCCTTAATGATCTTATTTAATCTCAATTTCTTCTAACTGACCCTATCTCCAAATACGGTCACATGCTCAGGTACTGAGAATTATGGTTTCAGCATGAGAATTTTACAGAGGATACAATTCAGTCCATAACAGCTTTCAGGTACAAGGCAGCCCCTCCAAATTAGTCCCTCAGCAAGCTCTGCAGCGATTCCACCATGCCACTACTGAGCTAAACTGTTTTCAGACTCACTGGGCACACTCTGGCTGTTACCTTCACTATTTGAGAATGTGTTTGATCTAGAGAAACACTCTAAGGCCATCCAGTGCTGTCTGGTGAGTCAACTGGGTGTACAAACTCAATTTGGATAAAAGATGAAGTTTTTAAAATGGCATCACTGGTTTTCTAGAGGTAGAAAACTTCACAAAAAAAGTTCTTAAACTGGGAATCCAAAAATATTTTCAGCAATGGCAGTATCACTAAAACAAACTCATGGTCTTCCAGGGTGACTTGTCAGGAAGAAAATAATCACTGTGTCTCCGCGGTGACCTTGAGCAAGTCACTTGTCTTCTCTGAGCTCCAACTTCTTTCTAAGAAAAAAATGTGGGCAGAGCCTGCCATGGGCAAATCCAGAAGATACTGTGCTCAGTGAAATAAGGCAGACACAGAAAGGAAATTACTGCATGATCTCACTTACCTGTGGTATCTAGGAAAATGTTTTTAATCAAATGCATAAAGACAGAGTAGAAGCTGGCCATGGTGACATGGGCCTCAGTCCTAGCTACTAGGGAGACTGAGGCAGGAGGTGACTGGGCTCAATTCAAGGCTGCAGTGATCTGCGATTGCACCACTGCACTCCACCCTGGGCAACAGAGCAAGACTCTGTCTGCAAAATTAAATTAATAAATAGAAACAAAATAACATAAAGAGTAGAATGGTGGTTGGAAGAAAAAGGTTAGAAAATTTTGGTCAAAGGGTACAAAGTTGCAAATATGTAGGGTAAATGATTCTAGAGATGTAATGTACAATGTGAGGATATAGTCAGTAATACTGTATTATATACTGGAAATATAGGTGCTCTTCCCACACACAGAAAAAAAACAGAAAGCACCTATGTGAGATGACAGACATAAATATGCTCGACTGTAGTAATCGCTCACTATGGATGGGAATATCAAAGCATCCTGTTGTACACCTTAAACATATACAAGAAAAAAGAAAAAAAATGAGGCTGACAATTCAGCAGTTCGGATCCTGACATAACACTACCAGGGATTTCTGCCAAGGGCGAACACTGCACTGAAGGCCCATCTAATATTCTTTCAACCATGAGATTTTTCTGACCCTAAGCTATGTATTTAAATTATATCCATCAAATCTTACTTCTGAGCCACACCAAGTTTGCCAGTGCTGTGGGGGAAAAAAAAAATCCGCATACATTTCTAAAGATTTTAATCCCCAAGTGAGAAATCAAAAGTGTTTCCATGAGACAGAGGAGGCACTGCAATGGCACAGGATTTCTATGTAGGAAAAATATTAAAATTTTTTAAAAAGTAAAATTGATTTTGGCAATGGTTGCATAACTCTATGAAGAGACTAAGCCACTGAAATGCACACGTTAGGTGGGTGAATTATATGACATGTGAATTCTCTCAATAAAGTTGTCATATACCCAGAACATAAAATTCTCTCAAGCCTTTAGGATAGACTCTGGCTTGGCAGAATTTTCTGACTCTTCATCATCAGAAGTTATGCCTCTGATCCCTACAAAAAGTCATAGGATCCCTACAAAAATGGTCAAGGGGACACAGTTCCATTTTGCAGTGGAGGCAGTTGAAGAACTAAGCCTCAGAGATAAACTCCAGTTCAACCCGGGACTCCCTGAGCAGTCCACAGCTGCTGACGCTGGCTCCACGTGCCACATACCTTCGTGTTATAAGTTTTTACACACCCTGGGATACATTTCACAGGTACGAAACAAATAAATAAATATCAGTGGTTTACCTGCAACAAAGTATGCACTGCATGGGTGACAGGGAAAACTCCTTCAGTGGCAGGTAAACATTCTGAAAATCCAATGAAGTATCCGATTTTTAGGCATCCCAGGATGATGGTAATGACTGCAAACAGTGTGATACTACCTGAATGTGGGAGGAAGGGAGGAGTAGAAACACACACGTTGCATTAATAGGCATGGATGTCATTTCCAAATAAATTATATTATGTATTAAACCCTTATGTACATAGTCAAATGACTTTTCATAAGGGTGCTGAGACCATTCAATGGGAAAAGGGCAGTCTTAAGAACAAATGTGCTGGGAAAACTGGATATCCACATGAAAATGAATGAAGTTGAACCCTCACCTCACACCATATACAAAAATGAACTCAAAACAGGTCAAAGATCTAAATATAAAAGCTAAAGTATAAACCTTGTAAAAGAGAGCATGTGGGAAAGCTTTATAACATTGGCTTTGGCAATAATTTCTTAACCATGGCATCAAAAATGCAAGCAACAAAAATTAAAATAAATAAACTGAGCTACATGAAAATGAAAAAAATTTGTGCATCACATGACACTACCAACAAAGTGGAAGGACGACCCACAGAACTGAAGAAAACATTAGCAAATTATATATCTAATAAGTCATTAATATCCACAACACACAGGTTTGCTCACATTCAATACCTCGTATAATGAAATCCTGTGGTATTGTCCTTTTGTGATGGAGTTTCTTTTACTTAGCATAATGTCCTCATGGCTCATCCTTACTGTATCGTGTCTGAATTCCCTTCCTTTTTAAGCTGAATAATATTTCGTTGTATGTCTGTACCTCACTGTGTTTATCCATCCGCTGATGGATGCTGGGTTGCCACCACCTTTTGGATACTGAAAATAATGCTGCTCTGAGAGAATTTAAAGAGAATTCTTATAAATCAACAATAACGAGCCAGGCACCGTGGCTCACACCTGAAATCCCAGCACTTTGGGAGGCTGAGACAGGTGGATCACCTGAGATCAGGAGTTCAAGACCAGCCTGGCCAACACGGTGAAACCTACCTCTACTAACAATACAAAAATTAGCCAGGCATGGTGGCGCATGCCTGCTATCCCAGCTACTTAGGAGAATCACTTGAACCTGGGAGGCGGAGGTTACAGTGAGCGGAGATCATGCCATTGCACTCCAGCCTGGGCAATAAGAGCAAAACTCCATCATCAAAAATCAGTCAATCAATCAATCAACAACAAAAGCCAATATAAAAATTGGCAAAGGACTTAAATAAACATATCTCCAAAGAAGACATTAAAATGGCCAGCAAGTACATGAAAAGATGTTCACCATCACTAATTATTAAAGAGATGCAAATCAAAACTAAAAAATACCACCTGACACCTATTAGAATGGCTACTATATAAAAAAAGAATAGAAAATAACAAGCATTGGTGAGGATATAGCGAAATAGGGCTGTGTTGGTGGGAATGTATAATGGTGCAGCTACAATTGAAAACAGTATGGAGGGCCTTTAAAAAATTCAAAAGACTATTATGGCATGATGTGGTACTTTCACTTCTGAGTATATGCCCAAAAGAACTGAAAGCAGGGACCCGAGGGATATCTGTATTCTCCTGTTCACAGCAGCATTATTTCCAGTATCCTAAAGGTGGAGGCAGCCCAGCATCCATCAACAGAAGGTTGGATAAACACAATGAGGTACAGACATACAACAACATATTATTCGGCTTAAAAAGGAAGGAAATTCTGACACATGATACAGTATAGATGAACCATGAGGACATGAGGACATGATGTGAAGTAAAATAAACTCAATCACAAAGGACAATACTGCAGGATTTCATTATGTGAGGTATGGAATGTAAGCCAGTTCACAGAGAGAGAAGTAGAATGGAGGTTGCCAGGTGCTGGAGGGAGGGAAGAATGAGGAGTTGGTGGTTTAATGGGGACAGAGTTTCAGTTTTAGAAGATGAAAAAGTTCTGGAGATTGATTGTACAACAGTGTATATGCACTTAACACTACTGAGCTGTACACTTAAAAACTGGTAAGTTGGTAAATTTTATGTATATAAATGCATGTTTTATGATTAAAAATTAAAAATATATTAATAAAATAAATTCTAGGCCAGGCATGGTGGCTCACACCTGTAATCCCAGCACTTTGAGAGTCCAAGGCAGGAGGATCACTTGAGGCCAAGAGCTTGAGACGAGCCTAAGTAACTCCATCGCTACCAAAAAATAAAATAAAAATTACTTCTAAATAAATAAATAAACCCTACTGTTGGGCTGTGAAGGTAGAACTAGAAGTCAGGTGCTGTGTCCTGTTCATCATTGTACCCACCCCATATCCCAGAGTCTGACAAATGATACACAATCAATGAAGACTGGTCCAATCAACAGAAGGCTTCTAGAAGCTTTTTCAAAAAGGAGCAATCTAAGAATGTCACTGTTCTCCTCGAAAATCTCAGTTCTCTAATCCTAAAATCCTGCTCTCTAAAGAATAAGTGTGCAGTGTGCAGGTCATACAGGTATACAGGAATTCTCTGAACTATCTGTGCAACTTTTCCATAAATCTAAAACTTTTCTAAAATAGAAAGTTTATTTATTTGTTTGACACAGGGTCTCACTCTGTCGCCCAGGCTAAAGTGCAGTGGCACGATCCTGGCTCACTGCAACCTCTGCCTCCCAGGTTCAAGTGATTCTTGTGCCTCAACCTCCCAAGTACCTGGGATTACAGGTGGTACCACCAAATGCCCAGCTAATTTTTTGTATTTTTAGTAGAGAGAGGTTTTTGCTCTGTTGGCCAGGCTGGTCTTGAACTCCTGATTTCAAGTGGTCGACCTACCTCAGCCTCCCAAAGTGCTGGGATTACAAGGATGAGCCACTGAGCCCGGCCGAACGTTTATTTAAAAGAAAAACAAAGATGGGTAGATGGTCTATGGTAGTAGCTTAGGAAGGGCCTGTGCTAGGGGTGCTGAAGAAAGGAAGCAATCTGTAATAATATAATGAGCATGGTTTTGCCCAAAATATAAAAACAAACTAATAAAAATGCATATTAAAAAGACTAGAAAGCAATGTAAAAAACACATCTAGTGATGGCAGAGGCCCCCCTCCTCTTTGTTAGGCACCCAAATCCCTCCTAGGACACTTGGTGACAAATGAAGACATTAGTGAGAAAAAGGCAGTGATCGTGGGCGCTCGATCAATGTCAGAGTTCCTCATCTCTCTCCCGGGCCAGCGTTGAGCTCCATTTACACGTTTCTTCCACCAACAGGAGGAAACAGTATCATGTGTGCTGTGCTTTAAGGCACTGAGCAGAGAGGGCATGAGCCCTAACATTGGGCTATAACGTTACAGCCCCAGCCTGAGAAGCCTCCGCTGAAAAGTAATGCAATCACCTAGCACTTTCCCTCTGCTCAAAGCCTTATAGAAACAATTCTAACTCACATTGCTTTTTAATCCTGGAAACACCCCAATGAAATCGGAAACTTTGTAAGAGTGGAGATTCAATCACAGTGCTTTGAAATGTTTTGACTAATATGTGGTTGGTTTTAATTACAAAAAAACATAGTAAGATGAGGCGAGGCAGCATGGCTGAGTGGCGAGAGCACAGACCTGCACCTGTAGAGACCTGGAAACTCACAGAATACATGAGTCCCTGCAAGTCACTTCCTGCTCCCAGACTCAGGATTCCCACATAGAAAATGAGGATGGTCTACAGCATCAGAATTGCCTGGAGGGCTTGTTAAAACACAAATTGCAGCCAAGCGAGGTGACTCACACCTATAAACCCAGCACTTTGGGAGGCCGAGGTGGGCGGATCACCTGAGGTCAGGAGTTTGAGACCAACCTGAGCAACATGGGGAAACCCTGTTTCTACTAAAAATACAAAAATTAGCTGGGTGTGGTGGCACATGCCTGTTATCCCAGCTACTTGGGAGGCTGAGGCAGGAGAATCGCTTGAACCTGGGAGGCAGAGGTTGCAGTGAGCCGAGATCACGCCACTGCACTCCAGCCTGGGCAACAAGAGCAAAACTCTGTCTCAAAAAAAAAAAACCACAAGTTGCTGGGCTCCACCCCCAGATTTTCTGATTCAGTAGGTCTGGGTGGGGCCCCAAAATCTGCATTTCTAACAGGTTTTCAAGTGGGGCTGCCACTGTCCATGTAGGCCCCACTGTGAAAACTGCTAGTCTAGACCCTTGCTGCAGTTGACATGTCAAGGGTTCAGTAATAAATACTTAACAGACTTTCTTATACTCTTGAAATCCGTCCTTTCTTCCTTTGTTCTTCCATTCCTCCACAGATTCATTCACCCAGTTATTTATACAACAAATATCTTGGGGACTCCTACTATGCATGAGGCATTATGCCAAGGGCTCCAAGACAGACATATGAGATTGCTGTAGAAACAAAAATATACAAGTATAATATTGCATCAATTGGGGTGTGCACAAAACATCAGAGAGATGAGCTGGCAATTCACACTTCTTTCTGTGCAGCCTGGGAAAGAAGCAGACAGTGGAAGAATCTGCCCCATGGAAAGGACTGCACCTCAAAAACCATATTCCCAGTTAAGATGTAGCCTACGTGTCAGGCAAAAGGCAGAATGATGTTTGAAGATTTACAGAACATAATTGTTTCAACAAGCATTTATTGAGCCGCAACCATGGGCCAGGCACCATCCCGGGCACTGAAGATATAAAGGTCAATAAAATAGAGTATCTGCCCTTGGGGAGTTTCACATCTAGTGGGGAAGGAAGAAAATTAAACAATAAATAATAAACATATAAATAATGTCAGGAGTTTGAGACCAGCCTGGCCAACATAGTGACATCCCATCTCTATAAAAATACAAAAAATTAGCCAGGCAGGGTGGCATATGCCTGTAGTCCCAGCCACTCAGGAGGCTGAGGCAGGAGAATCACTTGAACCCGGGAGGTGGAGGTTGCAGTGAGCGGAGATCACTCCATTGCACTCCAGCCCGGATGACAGAGCAAGACTTTGCCTCAAAAAAAAAAAAAAAAAATGTCAGGAAGTGCTAAGTGCATGAAGAAAAGAAAAGCAGAGAAGAGGACTGAGGGTGAAGGCATGTGGGCAGGAAAGGAGGTGACTGTTGAACAGAGAAC